AATAATCAAACATTTAAAAATTTAGGAAAGTTGCTTGCAGGACTAGCAGAACTGTATATGTATGAACAAGGCTTGGTAATTCATATATTTAATCGAGCAAAAGTCGCCCCTTTAACGGTTTCGAATAGACGCCATATGAAGGCTTTACGACAAAAATGTCTGGCCTTACCTTCAAACGGCAGCCGAATATACCTCGAACAATTGTTTAACGTTACACAAAGTTTCGGGAATCCAATAAATAGATAACTAAGTGCACATGCAAACAGGCATCTTATAAACCTGTGAATCTGAATTTTATTCTTTCAGAGGTAGTTCCTTCGTTAAGACTCAAAACTTGACGCGGACGTAATGCAGAAAAGTGTGTAGAAAATCGCTTCCTAATAAATTACCGTGAGATAAGCAAGAGAAGCTAGGATCTGTTTTCGACTGAAAGCGAGCTCGCCATGGGGTGGGAATTAGGTGGAGGCTTAATGACTGCTTATCAAAGCTAAGACCATACCTAGACAATCTTTTATCTCTCCCAAAATAAATCTAAATAAAGCGAAAATGGCGAAATAGTGAATAATTGAGGAAGTCATGTGTCTCGTACCCCCCTCCTTAACTGCGAACGATCCTGACATATTTAAGGAATTACAAACTCAACAGGATCACGGCCCACAGCAATCAACCAGCATGCACTATGACAACAGGTAACGACGTAGAAAACGCCCAGACTTTGGGCGAAATAGGGCCTTAAACGTCGAACCCATCAATGGGCCGGGATCTATCAGGCTGAAAGTCCCCCTACCTCGTTTTTTATTCACATCAACCAGCTGTTTGCGCGTGTTCAGTGTATTCACGGTCGCAATTGATGATATTTCCGCCAGTGTGCGTGATGACGTCCACCACTGCCCTGCGTTTCGGCGACAAGACAAAACCAAGACAACCGGGGGTAGAGTGCAGTAGCTAGCAAAACTAAACAACCTTCATACACGTGCCACGCACGACCCGTTCCGCACTTCTCGCCAGAGGGGAGGGGGGGGTTCGCGGCGCTTGCAGCTTTCACATGTGAGACGGCCATAAGGTTATATTTACTAGGAGCTAGCTTGACTCCCAGGCCTGAATAAAAGCGGTTTATTGCGTCAATTGGTAACCTCCAAAGCCACGAGCGATTGCACGGCGTGAATCTTTCGAAATGAAATTTTGTTAATATCGGAATCTAAGCTGGATCGGTTTCCGTCTCATTTGAGTTGACCCAATTGTGAAAAAACGCGAGGCGTTTGGCGGGATTCGAACCCGCGCATCAGAAAAAACCTTTGCTGGAGGTCAACTAACCACCTCGCGCCGTGAATTTAATCACACTCGGGTCGATATTACCCGCCCAACTTTCCCTCTCATTGCCTAACGTGTACAACTAACGGGCCCGCATCTCACAGAAGTGGCAGATGCCATAAAGTCTACACCGGTTACCTTTAAATTCATGCATGAGAGCATCAGGAACGGCCCAATCGCCTGATTTATTAGCGTGAGCGGATCTGCCGGACGGGAGGATTTTAAATGATGCATT